CAGCGAGATATCGTTCTAGTGCACGCAAATTATATGACTGGGCATAATGTTAAAAAAGACTTTCTCAAGTCCCATGGGCTTTGGAATTTAAATGACACAACGTTTCAAACATATCTTGATGATTGGAAGTTGAAGAAAGAGAAATATATAGATGTGGAAAATCAACGGCGATACATTACTTACAAATCAGCGTTAAAAGAGTTGGCATATGTGTGCATTGCTTGAATCACTCAAACATCACACAGACATAAAAGGATATTCAACCATCGAGAGCAATACTATAATGCTCAGATATTGTTTCAATATAATCAGATAATTTAAGTGAAGGAATGTAACTGCTAGTGACATTGTAGTTTTGTTCCAAGAAGGGATGTGATTGTGGGAGTGGGTATCGGTGAGGATGGGGAATGGGATGTTTGTTGTTTTTGGAGCCGATGCATTCTATATCGTCTCGAAAATCCTGCAAAAATGGAATTGACAAGACCCAATGGTATTATTGTTAATCTCTTATAAAATACGATTAAATGAAGTTGTAATATTTTTAATTTTGACTTCTTTCGAACACTATTACTCACTCTTCTAATCACTAGGATGCTTCTATTTGTATATATATAAAACAAAGTTCGATCTCTACCATGTGATTGAAATAATTTTTCTCCTTATGACGTTCTCGCATATTATGATTCAAAAAAATATATTGAGTAAAAGCTTTTTGACTTGAAGATGAAAATTGACAGTTGTTATGTTCAATCATTCTCGAAACTAAATATATTCTTGTAATAGATTTTATACTTGCTTCACGCTCATTATTTGATAGTGTCCCGGATAAATTCTATGCACCTCATGTTGATCTAACTCAATTACAACCAATAGTACTGTTTAATGATTTGCTATTATTAATATTGTTTCCATCATTGATTAAATACGTACGTAATCCAATGACTATAAAAATTGATGCAAATATTATTAATGACTAAATTTCGATTTTTATCTCGAGCAGTACGATAATCTTGTTCTTCAAATAAAAACATAGTTTGTTTGACCTAGAATCCTGCGGGACAAATACGCTCCTAAATTTTCAAATTGCCACGTCGAATGAAAGGCAGCTGACTGGATACAGTGCACTCTTAAAAAAGGAGATTTTTTGATAAATCTGTCTTCAAGAAGATCTCCTTGAAGTCTCGTAGAAATGGGTGTGGGTAGATATGGATGAAGAGATGATTTGCACCCATACCCATACATTTGAAACGTCAAAATCATTGAAAAATGAAAGAGCTTTCTGATAACCAGTAGTAGTAGACAACAATGAGTCGATTGCGATAAACTGTCCACGAGTTTGTTTCAAAGGTTTTTAGCTCATCACTTGACATCATTGAACTTCTATAAACTCTGAGAGAATTCTTCGCTTAATGGTTTTTCAATTGATGATAAGTATCACAGATGAATGCACGAATAACAAAAGCCATATAAATATATTCGATGCGTAGAGCTTCAATATGAACTTTGTATCAAATAGATAATTCTTTTCAAATTCATGAAGCTCATTCAATTCGACGCTATTGCCTTGGTATAGCTGCTTACAATGACTGATAAGTTTTTTGTATCCTCTTCAGTAGATTTTGGTCGTAGAAGACAATCAATAAGCACTTGAGAAAAATATACTTACCGTTTACACTCAATTCTCCGGTACATACACTTGTCATTATAGGACGAATATTAATTGACAATACTTCTTTTTTTATCTTTTCGAGTTTATGATCAGCTTCAATCTGAGACATGAGTTCATCAAATGTGATCATAACATCTTTCATCTATAAGCAATGAGAATTGAAGGAACTATTTCTCGTCCCAATCGACCATTACCCACTCACACCTCCATCCTCACCCCTCCCCCTCCCCCACACCCTCAAGGACTGAATTATCGAATGACTAGGTCATAAATTACTGGTTTCAATCGACATCTTTTTCGTTGATCTCTAGCGTATAGGACTCTCATAAACAGTATCGCTGCAATAACAAACATATGCAGTGTTTCGATTATTGTTAGTATAGTAAATAAGAATCGGTTTTTCATAGAAATGAATATTGCACTTTGATATGATGTTATCGTCTGCTGGTCATTTAGGTCTTATCGAAGAATATGTTATCAATCTACATCAAACCTTCTATTTCTATATTTGAACTTGTCAAAAAAGCATTTTAGAGTAAAATCAAACCGTTCTTGATGAAACAAAATACTTTCAAAATCATACGCAGTTGATGAGTTCTTTGGTGTGTAAATATGAGCGGTGAATGGGTGTAGATATGGGCTGAGAGAAGACTCACACTTACATCCACACTTCACCCTCAGTAGAATTACATCAGGAATGATATTTTAACAATAAAACGATTGTTTTCTTTTATCAAATAAGCTTGTTTAAAATTTGAAATCTTGAATAAGAAGTTAAAATAATTGAATAGTAGTCACAAAGTCAAAAAATTTTTCAAAAAAAAACAATAGCTACAGTTGAGTTGATTTTTGAAGTACAAATTTAGTTTATTCATCTTATTGATCTTTTCGTTGAGCGATACGTGCTTGCCAAAAGCATAGTATTGGTGTAAAAAAGAGTTCTGCTATTATTGCGATTAAGCTAAATGCATCTGGCATAACGCCTAATCTAAATAATCCAATTACTCGTGCTAAACCACCCAGAAAAGCCATAAATGCCAATACACGAACAACAATTACAGCTTGTGTAATACGTGGAATTATATAAAACCACATAATAAATCCAAAGCCTAATACCAAACCGGAAAGATAACGATAATGATTATCAAGACGTACTGGAACAGTAACCTTATTCATATTGTTTGGTCCCATCCAAATACCACTAAATCCAAGAGTAAAAGATACTGATCCAATAATTGCAAGAATAATTTGTAATGCATATATTTCTATTTTGGATACCATTTTGTTATGCAATTCGTCGATCTAAGAATAGAATAATTTTACAGATTTTTCAATAGTTTACTTGATTACATGATTCAGTGTATTTTTTGCTATACCCTCACAGTTATTATATGATTAATAAAAAATCTACTTTTTTACAGGATCGAAAGTGCTTTGTTTTATTTATAATTAAGTAAGTCAACAGATTCGTACAAGAAGTCTTTTGCTTGCGTTTAATCATCAGCTTTTATGTTGAACAACATTCTCATTCAGCTTAGTATATTAGTATGCATGCAATTAAAAGTTTCTTTGATTAATGCAAGAACGATTAATGAAACATAAAAACATACTTGAAATAGCTTCGTTTAAGCTTACAATTAACTCGAGGTATATTTTAAAAAAGTAACCAGTTACGCTAATGTTTACTGTGTAATAGATAATTTGATACGTTGCTAGTACGAATTTTGTCGATGAAAAAATTAGTATATCTTATCGACCTTGGCCAAAAAGTAGGTCAGTGCCATAAATAAACGATTATTTGTATGTATGCGCAGAATATAGAAAATTATTTTCAGCTATTCATAGATAAGCGAATAGCATGCAAGCGCATGAATACTATTCATTTATAGGTCGCAAAAAAAAGTAACATACGATAAATGCATTGCCAAACATGATCTCGTATTAAATTGTGTTGAATGTACTACAAGTAAATATTAAAATTAAATATAACAGAGGGTGCCACTTTATGATATGACATGAACAAAAAATATGTTAATTACCTTAAACAAATTTCGGCTGTCAACCATCAGACCGGAACATATTTGACCAAGCAAGACGAAAGTGAAGGTTATTTAGTGTATGCTCTATCATGAATCAAAATCAACATAGTATTGGTATACTTAGTGGAACATGGGTGTGAGAGAAGAAAAGGTTCACATCGCCACTTTACTTCTGCTTGTTCTGTTCATAGGAATGAACTATTTCCATGTAAAATTTTTCATTAATGATCATGATTAAAATGAATTCAAGTTTATAAAGTAATAAGAGAAAATATGATGTATTTCCAAGGTCGTTTGTATTTGTTTTTCTAGACACAATGATAAAAGTTTCGATCGTAAACGACGATTTTTCAAACTAAAACAGAGCTAATAGCATGTGGCAATGAAAATAACAAATAATCTGCAGATGTTTCATGAAATTTAGACATATCATAAACCATATTACGCGAACTGAAAAATAACTACAGATTAACACCAGAATATAATGGAATACACCATTAAATAACACTTTGAGGTCATAGGTGTGTCGATTGTCTTGGAGTTTACGCTACTCACAACATCTTGTTGATGAAATGTTTTCAATGTGAGATCTCTCGTTTTTCTACGACCATGCTAGTGTTAGTTTACATTCTGAACTTTCAGAAAGTGGAATTCTTTCTAGAATCGTCCGAATTTTTGTCAACATTGATGATGTTTTTTTACACTTGATGGGACTTCGTATATTTCTTGTTTTAGTGTTTTATCAAGTAATGAAGCGTCTTTTGAGAATAGGCAACATGATGTCCTTTTTTATCGATACTGTCAAGTAGAATTGTGCCAACCTAAATAAGTCTACACGATGTTCACGCTATTGGATGGACAGACACATTGGCTGAGTTTCATTATCTTCTCATGAAATAAGAGCGCTCATCAGTATTAGCATTAGAGTTCAAGCATGAAGCGAATAAGCCAGAAAAACAGAAAATTATCAATATAAAAGAAGCAACAGTCACGTTATATTCAGTAGTAATGTTCGATTTTCTGCTGGCTTTGGAGTAAAACCAAAGTACCATGCAATAAACTTGAGTGTTAAAACCCATAAATGCTTCCAAATTCCTTGTGAATGGCCCATTGCAGTGTTTCGATGACTCATCTTAATAGCATTCGTTGAACGAGGAAGACTAAGGTCGTCGTAAGCTTGAATTGGTTATGACAAAGTTTTGACAAGAATTAGTTGCTCTGCTAACTGGTATCCATCTATCATAACCATGTTAGCTCCGTTGCCAGAAAATGGACTCATTGTATGCTGAGGATCACCGATAAAAATCACTGAACCATGATTCTTGATGGGCACCATGTCTTTGGCGTTGCTTTACGGCAATACTACTGTGTAGTGTTTCTTTGAAAAGAGTCGGTATCGGTTCACCAAATGGTCTCAAACGTTGTTCAGCACCGAGTAGTACTTGTTCGATTTTGGCTTCACTCATTGTTCCGACATGTTTCGGTTCGCAAGGTGTCTCTGATAAATAGCTCACACTCCAAAATGCACTTGTTTGATCGGTTGGTGCAATAAAAAGAAAATGTCCATTGTCGGCAAGTACACCACCCCATGTCGTATCTAGAGGAGGTGATGGCTTGTTTAAAGGTCGAGTACGTGCGACAATGGAGATTGGACCGGCAAATCTAAGTTCATGCTGGGGTCGAAGTGTTCGTCACACTCTACTATTGGATCCATCGGTTACAATTAGTAAGTCACATTTTTCTTGATGGCCATCCATCAAAGTCACTAAAACTTTTCCATCTTCAAGTTCTTCAGCAGATGTAATGCCACGATTCCAGTGCACTGTAATCGATGATGGCACATTTTTGTTGAGTATGTCATGGAGCTTTGAACGTGCAATGCATAGAGTTAGTTGTGGAAGACCTTCAACAGATGGCGATCGAAATTCAATTAATGGGGTAAAGTCATTGTTGAAGACTGTAAAATGTGTTCCTGGATTATTTACACCAAGTATCTCATCAAGCAAATTCAATTTTTGAAGTATTCGCATTTCTCCACTTAGTGGATCATTTCGGATCGAAAGTGAATAACCTTCTCGTCCGATGACATCCGTGGAGTCTTCACGTTCGTAAACCACAATCTTTGGGGGTGGATTTATTTCTTGACCATGGATCTCAAGCAATCGCTGTAGACCAATGCAACATGTCAGTCCGCCAATACCAGCCCCAGCTACAATGATATTCTACCAGATAAAAAGTGTTTTTCACGTACTGTGTCCATTTACGATGGACAATATACAAATTATTTCTCTTTCTATAGAATAGAGAATAAATAGAATAAGCTTTTATGATAAATATTATTTGTTGCAATACATCATGCACACGTATCTGCTTGCACACAATGACGTCATGTTCTTGTACTTCACAAGACATCATTTCAAAAGAGAGCTATTATCTCATGGTCTTCATGCAGTTTTAGCTTCTTAAAAGACACCTATGCTCATTCAAGGTATTATCTATTAAGAGTAAGATTATCTTTTACTGTTCTTACCTTATAAGAGTCAATTCAACCTTTCGATTAATAATATCGACCTCTGTGTCACTGCACAAATCACTTAGGGCTCTTGCTCCTGACTTGCTGAAAAACCACCGCAAACACGCCGATATTCTTTTAACTTACTGGCAGCCTATGGTAGAAAAGTTGATATGTCTGCAACGTCGCAATGGGTATCATCGTATTTAATATTTTAATCTCGTAGGGGTTGTCCTGAAAGTTTTTTCTTTCTCTTGATATCTGTCGATGGATAGAGAATTTCATTGGGGTGCAAAACTCTATATTAAATTAGTGCACTAATCAATTGTTCTTTGATATCTTTTATGTCTCTGAAAAAGATAGAGTACAAATAATGCGAAATAAAAATAAATATAGGATAAATTATAATGATGATCAATAATTTAATCTAGTTTCAAGAGTATGAATGTTATTGTGAAAATTACAGACATTAGCAATGGAAGGAAAAGGAGCTAAACACTATTTTTTTTGCCTTGATAAAAACTTATACTCAAGATATCAAGGATGACAGGTAACAATGTATTGGTTTATCACAGTTGTTATACAATTAATATCACTGTTTGTGAGTTGATTGAGATGTATTATAGTGCATTAAGTCCTGTGTCTGTAGATTTGATAAATAGGTACACTAGGCGTACTTATCATTGAATTCAATGCTTAGAATAATAACAATTTTAAATTAAGAAAAGCGAAATGTGACTAGCAACAATGAAAAGAAGAAAAATGGTACGAGTGAATCATTTTGCATATCATATATTAGTATAATGAGGCTAAAGAACACATATAAATTCTACATTCTAACTGCGAAGGAGCTACGCTAATAAGTTGTTTTTCTCTTTTTCTTTGTCACATTCACATCGTAATGCAATTCTTTGACCCGCGGTAAAAGAAAAGACGTAAAGAAAGTAGAAGTTTTTTGTTTTCTTTGTGTTAATTAAATCATACTTCAATATTTAATGGAATATGAAAATAACTCGCAGAAAAAAATATGTTCATTGAATGTGGATGACTACTTTGAGCGCTCTTGTATAAACAGAATCTGTTTCTTTCTTTCTATAATCATTAATAAGCTTGGATGCTTATTTTCTGATCATCCCAATTCTATAAACATTTTTTTTCATCGACAAAAAATATCAATCATTGACTACTACGTTTGTGTCAATTATTTTCTAGGTTACTCGAACATTCATGATTGTTGTCTTAAATATTTTCATTTCAGTTTGATTTATTTCTTGTATCACATTTACTTCAATCATCCTAATCTACAGTTGTATCCCATACATTGATGCAATACTTTTTCTTTCTCATAATCTTCGAGCTATTAAAGGTAAAATATGTGGGTGCGATTTGGCCACCTTCAAACTTGTCAAACATTCAATTATTGGGACTCTTTCAAGATTCATCAAATGAATTTGAATCGAATACATTATCCGTTCATTCTCGAGCTATGTTTAAAGCAGCAATATTACTCTCACAACAATATCATCTGACAATTGAAGGACAATCGATTGGATGGCAGACAGCAGAAACTAGTGGTAATGTGATCAATGCTTTAAGTAGTACATGTCGAGCAATATCCACATCAAATATTGTTGGTATTGTCGGACCGGCACTTTCACGCGAAGCTCATGTTATTGCTCATTTTGCTAAAGCTATTGGTATTCCTGTTATATCCTATTCTGCAACGGATCCAGATTTATCTGATCGAAATATTTATTCGACGTTTTATCGCACAGTTCCTTCGGATAATACAGCCGCATTATCGATTACAAAATTATTCATGCGATTTAATTGGACATCCTGTATCATTATTTATCAAAATGATGCATTTGGATCTGGTGGTGAAAAAGCAATTATTCGAGCATTTCAGAACAACGGTTTGATTGTTAGAAAAAGTCTTGTATTCGATATAACGACACATCAAATTCGAGGTGATTTGAAAAATGAATTAATTAGTAGTTCAACACGACTGGTCATATTATGGGTTGAATCTACTTTTATATCTCTTATTTTACAAAAGGCTATTGATCAGGATGTACTTGGTCCACAATTTACATGGATATTACTATCAAATGTTCCATTGAATTCGTTCGATCAAAATTCTTATCAAAAGTTAATCGGTATGCTGACCATAGAACCCACTATCGGATATATTGTTAATACACCCATTAACTCAACATTATTAGATGCTGCGTACAATATTTGGAAACAATACGAACCTGAATCATTCCCTGGACGAAAAAAAGTAAATAATCATGCATTATTTGCATTTGATGCGACTTGGTCATTGATTCAGTCTTTGGAACGATTTTGTTCATTAACGAACACTTGGTCTTCCTCATGTGTATCGATTCTCAATTCTTCATTCTGTTTTGATCATCGTTTTCTTCATACAAATACATTTTTCGACACAACTATGAATATGACATTTCTTGGTGTATCTGGTCCAATTCAATTTAATACAAATGTAACTGATCGAATCAGTGGTAATTATTATTTAGTACAAAATATTCAACCGTATGAAAATCATATCGATTATGTGCCTGTATTAGAATGGTCTGATATAGACGACTGGAAATCGTCTTCACGAAGAAATGTTATTGTATGGCCTGGTAATACACTAATACCTCCTACTGGTCATCCATCTCTTTCTAGTACGAGATTACGAATTGGTGTCATTGAATCGAAACCTTTCACAATGATTACGAATGTTATAGATGAGTTTGGACAAAGTACAACAAAATTAATTGGTTTTGTGCCTGATCTCATTGATCTTTTACAAGAAAAAATGAAATTTATTCATCAAATTTTATTAGCACCTTCAAATCAGACCTATGCTGAACTAGTTAGAGCAGTAATAAATGGTGATTACGATATTGTTATTGGAGATGTTACTATTACGGCTAGTCGACGAGAAAAAGTCGGCTTTTCAAATTCAATATTTGACAATTCTTTACGTATTATTATGCGAAAAAATATTGATGATAATGTAGACTTTCTTTCATTTTTAAGACCATTCTCATTTAGTCTCTGGATATTACTTTTTATTACAAGCATTTATGCTGGTGTTTTGATCTGTATATTAGAGCGACCAGAAAATGAGGCATTACACGGTAAATCAATCATTTCTTCAACTGCTATGAGTCTGTGGTATGCTATTGGCACTATTATGGGATATGGTGCTGATTTTCATGCAAGCACTGCAGCCGGGCGATTATTAACGCTTGGTCTTTACTTCTTAAGTTTGGTATTAGTAGCGACATACACTGCAAATTTAGCATCAGATCTAACTATATCAAAATCGAAATCTCTTATTACGAGTATTGATGATATAAAAAATGGTAAAATACCATTTCATCGTATTGGTATTCGTATCGGTACAGCAGGTGAAGAATATTATTTACGAGAAATTTCTGGTGGAAATCGAAATTATTATTCCTTAAAATCTCGACAAGAACTCTATGAAAGTCTACTAAACGATATTATTGATGCATCTTTTATAGACACCGGTGTCGGAGAATATATAACTAATACTTTCTATTGTAATTTAACTCTGATTGGTGCAGATTTCGATAAGGGTGCATTTGGTGTTGTTCTTCCTAAACAATGGGTGTATGGACAAGAGCTTGATGTAAGCATATTATCATTACGAGAGTCAGGTGCTCTTGATGATTTGAAAAGAAAATGGTTTCAAACCAGTAGTTGTCCTGATACATCTGTTGCATCTACTAGTACTGCCATTGAAACCATGAGTGGCTTATTTCTTACATTTGCAATGATTAGTGTTCTATCATTACTTTTATTCGCATGGAAAAAACGTTTTATTATACAAAATTATTTATGGAAACGATTATGTCGAAAGGTTTCTCTCGCATTCCAAGATACTTCGACGATACGACATTCAACCGAAATTTCGAAATATTCTGAAAGTACTAATCCAGTTTCATGCTCGAAGGCATGTTTTTGACCGAAATATAATGTCTGCATTCAAAAATGAACTTAAATTTGTTATTTACCATATTTTGTGATATAGCCAGGATTTTGCTGATGCGAGAGCTGAATATTGCTTGTAGCTTCTAGTGCATATACTTGATATCTGAGTTCAAAAGTCTAGCTGATAAAACTTATCGTTCCCTTCTCTTTCCTTCCCTGCCACAACATTTGAACTTTCACAATTAGAAGAAACGATTGTAATAGACATGAATAGATGTCTTGAATAGTGAAGAATATACAGATAATATTGATGAACGCGGCTACCTTCGAAAACAATATTCATCAAGCAAAATGAGAACAAACACATCTTCGAATAGTAGCAACTCAAAGATTTGTCTTTGTTTTACTACTCAGACTCTCATTATAAAAGATACATTATGAGATACTGCTTATACTACATTTCATCGCTAAGGACAACTCTACTCTGATCTGATAACTTTAACAGTTATTGTAAAATTGACTTGTGGCTTGAAAATCTTTTGAAAAATACCATTAATTGGAAGCTGAAAAACGTTTTTTTTGGAGAAATTTTCTCCAAAACTGCTATCGACATCTAGGCCCAGTCCTTCATTCTTGTGAATTATGCGGAACTCAGTATCAGAGATGGGCAAGTCAAGTCAAAAATGACTTAAGTCAAAGTCAAGTCAAGTCATTTTTGACTTGCTTGACTTGACTTGAAAAATTTTTTAATGACTTGCGACTTGACTTTGACTTGACTTGAAAGGTTTT